ACTGACACTGCAAAAAGCTGTCCCAGATTGCGGCTCTGGAGGAAAGTTATAGAAATCATTACCAACAGTTGTGGGACATTGGTCTGGACGCGCTAACACTCCTACTTGATACTGTAACGCCCTTCTGGAGAAATTACGGAAAGGTCATTGGCGAAGACGTACAAGATTTCCTTATAATCCCTTGGTACCGGAACGAGTTCACTGGAGAACCCAAGAGATACCCCATCAAGAACTTCCCAAGACGATCGCTACGTCATTGGGTAGGCATCGTTTGTCTCTACCTCCTCACATTTGGCGTGACGACTCTGCAAATCCGCGCGGCGATCGTTTCTACCTTGCACTGCCATTTACCTTTCATCAGCCATTCCGGTCTATGGTGGATCTGTTTCCCTCTCTATCTCGTCGTGCTGCTCGTGCAGTGGTGTGCTGTTCTCTTCGAATGCTGCATTCTTTTGGCGCAATGGGGCGTTGTTATCTGGTGGATGGGATGGACTGTGAGGATTGTTAACTAGCGTTCACTCTAAGGCTTGGGATGTGGAATTCTGTAGTAGTATAATCATGACGTCCGATACTTGTACATGTACAATTTATTCTACGATGCCAACAGGCTGAGTCCGTACTATCCCATCATAACCTATTGCTGTGATTCTTGCGGAGGTAGTACAGGTGGGTAAGGTATGAATGTCGGATGTGCTAAGGGGTGAGTCGAAGGAGGTCGAACTGGAGAACGCGATACAGGTTGAGGAACTTCGTCAGGGGCGGGCTGTGATGTATGTGAGGGAGCAGCGACAGGTACTGAGGGCACCTGGGGAATGGCGGCCACTGCTTTGCCAGCGTCTATACATTCACGGCAATAACCTGTGTAAGGGATCTCAATAGTGGGATGAGGCGAAGACAATGTGTTACTCACGACCGCCCATCATCAGAGGTACGTCGGTGCGGCCACAGACGTGGCAGGCGATGCGGGGCGGATGATTCATTGGCTTGACTTTTGTGGTTTGTCGTCGTTTTTTGGGGGTCACCTCAGGAGCGGCGATCATATCATCACCGGGAAGTGCGGTCTTGCGCGGCGGAGCTTTCCGCTTCGCTTTAACCTTGTCAGCGTTAGCTGGCATGACTGGTTTTGTACTATGCTGCGTCAGGGCCTATACAGCATGTACGTTCAATCTCACTGAGTTCAGCAGAGAAGTGAGCGCTTACAGCCTCGATTTGTGAGAGGATTGGGCCATCAGGCAACCGATACTGAAGATATGTCCGAGGCGGTATTTTCTGTACCCACATATCAGCGAGGAATTGCTTTGTATATCGATACGCTTACTATCTCTCTCAAGCGTCGCTTGTTCTCCTTCATCTGCGATTCCCCTCCTGTCCACGAGAGCAAGGTATCCCACAGTGCCGGATACATTCTCAATATTCGAAATGTGACAACTTCAGGCGCAATGTCTTGAGCTTCAGTGCCGCCTATTGTTGACGGAAATGGTAGACATGTAGAAACGAGAACATCCCTCGTCCTCCACCTCGGGTCTTCGGGCCCCTCGCGTTCACAGACGACGCACCCGCGCGGAAAGATGAACTTTTCGGAAGGTTTGTCATGAAACTCGATTACTATGTCGAAGTCTCGAGGTGGCAAAGGGGTCGCGGTCACAGCTTGCGTTGCAGCAGACGCGATCTGTGCAGCTGTGTTGATGTCAGCCTTCTGGAGGGTAGACAGAGATTGTATCAGCAGTCCAAGTGTCTTCAGTTCGTCTGTGGAAGCTTGTCCCACTGCAGCTCGTTGCAATAATTTCGCAAGAGTTGGATTCGATCGGGAAGCTGAGTTAACTTGAGCGATGAGGTTAGGGGTTACAAAGGTGTCGACTCCGAGAGACGATAGAATCTGAGATGCTGTACTTTGTGCGCTAGGCGTGGCGGACGTCTGGGAAGGCGGCCTCGTACTAGAGGATGCCTGCGGCGCTGGTATGGTAGCATGCGGCGGAACAGAGGTACTTGGCGTAGGCTCAACAAGAGATTGTGGCATGTAATGCACTTCGTAGAACGCCGTGGACAGGAAAGTATGTGGTCCAATGACAACGTCAAATCGCCCATGTGCCTTAATTGTATGTGGTGGAGGAACCACTTCGGCGGGTCTTCCACCACGAGCCTTCGCTGAGAACTTAGGGAGGGCTGTAGACAGCCACTTGTTCCGTGCTGCGAGGAGACATTATGAATATTCTGTATCACAAACGAGCATGACATTACTCACACTGTACAAGCGACTGATGTAGTGCTTGACTTATCAAAATAGCTCAAATCCCTATATTCGATCCAGAAAGATGAAGTTTACCTTCTAGGGATGCTATGCAATTCAGGTTGCTCTCCGTCTTCGTCGACTTCGTCCAATTCCCATTCTGGGTGAGCCCCTACCGGAAGTTCAACTGTTCTCTGCATTTCAGCGGGTTTACTCCCTGGAGTGGTACGCGTAGAGACGCGTAGGGTGGTTGGGAGGTTGACTGGGTAATCTCGTAGCCGGTCAAGGCCAAAGGCACATCATACACGAATCTCAGCCACTATCGAGAAGCGCCCGTGCAGGTCTGTCGCGAACCGTGTTTTTGACCAGCACTGTATATTGCCTCCAGCTGTCTCCTTTACTGTTTGTAGGCGTCTCTCTTGTTGGACTTCCTCGCAGTAGCAGATCAGGATGTCCACACGCGTCCGTGAGTCATCTGTGCGATTCACCTCGGCTGATTGCTCACTGGCCTGCAGAAAAAGGGAGCACGGTCTTCAGGCCGATCGCCAAACCCAGAGCTCGTCCCGGCTTAGAAAGTCGTCAGGCCTCAGTAGCCCCAGATGCCACCGTCGCACCCAGCCCAAATGCAACACTGGTACAAGGTACTGGATCCCAGAGGGCAATGTCTTCTATGCCCCCTCCGTCCGCCATCCCCTCAGGAAAAGCACTTTCGGCCCCTACGGAGGCCACAGAGCCCGCTCCAGATGTCACTGCCTCTTCGAGTCAGCTTCTCACTTTGGGCTACGTACCTACGCAGCTGGAAGATATGTCCACACAAACTCAATCTTCTCAGTCATCGTCCAGAGACGTCTTCCGTCCTCCGGTCATACGATCTGGAACATGTGGTCCTACCAGTGTGCCTGTGATTGTTTCGTCGAACTCTGGCAATGCAATCCGTGTTCCTTCGAGAGACGCACCAGCTTTTGTACCTCCTCCCGGGTCTCATCGACATACTACGACCCCTGTCGTTGCCTCAAGCCCCGCACCAACTCCTCTCCCCATAGCAATGGCTTCCGCTAGGCCTGGACCTGACGTAGATCACAACGCAAACCATTCAAGTCACGACGACTATAGCCACTCGTCCCCGGCTTTCGATATGTCTCAGATTGACCCGATGCTCATGCAGCCCTCTCAGGGTCATGGAAATGATTTGCAATCCCTCGTACATGCGGTATCAGTTTTCGAGTCCGAGCATAGCACGCTCACTCCCGACGAAGAGCGTGCACCACATAGCAGCCATACTCTTGAAGAGACGACTGACGTTGTTAACGGAGAAGGCGCGGAAGGAAGCAACACCCACATGACTCGCAAACGCAAGGCGAAGTCCGCAGATCAGCCGTCTGACACAAACATGTCCCAGGAGGGGTCTGAAGCTCGCTCGAGAAAACGCCGGTCAAAGAAACAGCCAGCCACTGACGAGCCAACGGGTCCAGGAGACGAGGAGCACTTTGTTGAGGCAGGTTCGAGGAGAGGGGCTTCTGCCGTCCCACGGAGGTCTCGGACACGACAGCCCTCTTTACCACCTTTCGATCCAGAGGCTGACCCTGGTGTTGAGCTCGATCCTACGGCTACGACCATGGCTGCATTGTGCAATGACACCGGTCATGGCCGTGTCAGCAGCAAAGCCGCCCAAATCATCAATAATCATGCTGCTTGGAGAGCTACAAATAGGGAAAAGCGGGCTCGCATGAAGGCTGCGATGGAAGCCAAGAAGTATGGCCGAAATCCGGACGACGACGAGTCCGCACCCCCGGCAACCATTGCGGAAGTCCCGCAAGACAACCTGGAGGTTGATATCACAAGCGCCGCGCATGACCTCTCCGGCTCTACTCCACGTTCTGCACCTCAACCCTCTTCCACAGACCTCCTTGGGGGCGAGGGAGCCCGCGATGCCGGTGATGACTTTGATTACACGCAAAATCTGGCAACCAGTCGGTTCAACGTTCAAGTCCGCATCGGCCCGAACGGGGAAACTATCATCGACGAGGAATCACTGTTTGTCGATCGAAACGAGGAGCAGGATACGACGAACTACACGCATGTGGAAGAGTCCGACACGACGAAATTCGTCAATTCCGGTACGTACAGCAAGAAGCTCCGTGGGTCCAGATGGAGTGCTGAAGAAACGGAACTCTTCTACGACGTAAGCCCTCTGCATGTCCCCACTCAACGTCGCAATCTGAGTTCGTTGGCCCTTCAGGCGCTTTCTCAGTTTGGAGAAAACTACGAGCTCATCTCCTATGTTTTACCCGGCCGCGATCGTAAGGCTTGCAAGAACAAGTTCAAGGCCGAAGATAAGAAAAATTCGGCTAGGATCACCTACTGCCTAACACATCGCCGACCGTATGGTGTGTATGATTTGTCTCATCGTCAGATAGCATGGCCTGACGTGCTATAGACATGGAAACATTATCGCGGATGACAGGGAAGGACTTCTCTGGACCAACTCCCGAGATCAGAGCGCCGACACCTTTACGTTCTATTGAGCTAGACACAAACCGTCAAGAGCCCAACATAGAAGCAAAGCGTGCAGTACGAAAGAGTAAGACATCCAGACTAGACGATGATGTCGAGGTGCTTGGTGACCTCGAAGACATCGAGAAGATGGATGTGGATGACGCTGCGTTTGAAAACTAGCCCATTGAGGGCAAGTAGACATGGCATGGGCACGCATAATAAATATCTTCCTGTCATTAGGACGCGACACGAGGTGACGAGTAGGATCGACGACACCGCCGGGATAGCTCAGCTGGGAGAGCAACAGACTGAAGCCAGCTGGTTTTCTGGAGGTCCCGTGTTCAATCCACGGTCCTGGCATCTTTTTTTCCGTTTGGAGTTGCGAGTCACGCTCACGTGCCGCGCTCGCGACGCGATCGAGCTTGCTCTCTTGTCCGTGTCTGTCTCCTCTTTCGCTCGCGGCCAGCCTCCGAGTTTCGTGCCCTTACTTTTAACCATCTCATCGATTATCCTTGCTTTTGGACTACTGTTGTAACCAATGGTCCGTAGAAATGCCTCCAAAGATGGTCCGGCACCATCTCGAGCCAGCACACCTCCTATGGACGATGTGGAGGAAGTAAGTTGGCCATGTACAGAAACATGCTGCACGTCTAGGCTAATATATGCCGCGCTCTGTAGGGCACATTCTTCGATACAGTCGATGAGCTGCAGCAGCATGTAAGCTGATTTCATCTCTAAGCCGTTCGCTGTTGTGCGGCACCGGGTCCTCGATATATGCGTTTGATTATAACCCTATCCAATTCTTACCGCCACCAATGACAGGGCATCAACGTGCAAGATATATTGAAACTCAAGGTAGCCTTGAGTCTACCACTCGAACTTCGACTCACGTTGTCGCAGGCGGCTGCTATCAACACTGTCTCTGGCGTGAATATGACGACTCGCAGACAAATGCTCAAGATCAAGGGGATGTCTGAAGCTAAGGTTGAGAAGATCAAGGCAAGACCTGCCATTCAATTCTGCTTTGGATCTCATGCTGACTGGTGTTTTAGGAAGCAGCACATAAAATCTTGGTAAACTCATATGTGTTGCCTGCATATATGCGCTCCTAACCTTCGGCAGGGATCGTCTTTCGCCACCGGGCTTGAGGTCCAAGACAAGCGGAAACGAGTCCTCCTAATCAGCACTGGCAGCAAAGCCGTCGACACTATTCTCGGTGGTAAGAACGGATGTCTCATACCCCTCGCACTTTATCATACTTATTTCGACCACCATGCAGGTGGCATCATGTCGCAGTCAATCACAGAAGGTGACGATATTCCGCAACGAAACACATCCTGATCGATTGATTATAATCAGTGTATGGCGAGTTTCGAACGGGCAAGACTCAACTGGCCCATACCATGAGTGTTGTCACGCAGCTCCCACCAGACATGGGAGGTGCATCTGGGAAGGTGACTATATGCATGTTCGACGATTGGTATGTCAAGCTACTGACCAGACTCTGTAGGTCGCATATATAGACACGGAAGGGACATTTCGTCCAGATCGTATCAGAGCAATTGCTGAACGCTTTGGAGTTAACGGTGATATGGCCTTGGAGAATATCCTCTACGGTAAGCCACGAGGTTTCCTGGGCGAGGATTTATACTGACAGGACCTTGTAAGCACGCGCGTGGAATAGCGAGCATCAGGTCCACTATGCCTTGTTCCGATCGCTTTATGCCGCTCACGCTAAAATGGCGCCGTAGATGGAATTAATCAACGAATGTTCCATACGCTTCGCAGAAGACAAGGATTTCAGACTTCTGGTGACCAAATAATCGATGACGCATAGAAAGCCCAATCGCTGAATGCGTGCGTTACAGATCGTCGATAGCATCATGGCGCTGTTCCGGACAGACTATTCCGGAAGAGGAGAACTCAGTGAGAGGCAGCAGAAAGTGCGTCCTGTACTGTTCCACTACCGGGCTGCTCAATTGACAACATTCGCGATTCTGTCAGCTTGCTCAAGTTAGTCTTCAGCTGTAGACCGTGAATATAACACGGATATGCTGACAAACGTTTTCAGATGCTGTCGAAGCTAAGTAAATTGTCCGAGGAATACAATGTTGGGGCCGTTTGTCTCGAGCCGGCGTTGTCCACATGACCTAACTGATTTCCAGATCGTCATCCTACTGACGAATCAAGTACAGTGTAAGAGGCTTTAACCATCCTGGACGTTCGGTACTTGACACGCAACCTTTATTTTCACATAGCCGATCCTGGAGCTACTATGACTTTTGTTGCAGGAGGGGCGCTCAAACCCATAGGAGGCCACATACTGTCCCATGCATCCGCAACCAGGATCTTCCTCCGGAAAGGTCGGTCCTTGTTTGAGGAATCATTCAATCATGATCGTCGTCTTCGTACATTGGACCCCGTTACTGACAGCATTCTGTCATGGGATGAACTTGACTAGGTCGTGCTGAAGAACGTGTTGCAAAACTTGTTGACAGCCCAGACCGGCCAGAGAGCGAAGCCAGCTATAAGCTCGACGAAGGCGGTTGGGCTGACGTTTAGGAAGTACAGAAGACTCTCAAAGACCTCGGAAACTCGCTGTTTGCACAGTCAACTCCAGTCGGCTGTGGTCCTAGAATAGTCGGCCTCTATCATGACCGTCTGTCCTGCAGCTCGTCGTATCCGGTTTCCCGTCAAGCTATTGTTGGACTTTGGTGCGATCGTGTTCTCTGTAACCATACTCTCGGCTATGATTTGCAAGTCTATGGACTAGTCGCATGGTCTCGAGTCCTGTCATGTCCGTCGCTCTGTAATGTTACGATACTGGACCCTCTGTGATTATAATGTAGCCGAACGGAACCTTATTCATGTGTCACCGAACCTATTGCTATGATGCTCCACAGGGCGATCGAATAGCGCTGTCTCCAACTTCTAGCATGCGATATCGCTCATAGCAGATAAGCAAGCTCATATTCGGAGATGAGATAGGATGAGACTCGAACGACGCGGGGAAGTGTGAACGTACTAAGAATACACGGAACTCGATGTGGGAGTGGGGATGACCAAGCAGCTATATTCAGCTACCGTAGGAGTGGCCTATATAATGAGGAGCTTTCTGACCACAGAAGTAAACCCAAACAGCGCATCGCGCGAGCACTGCCTAGTCTCCCTCCCACAGTTGCACGAGTCATGGCTCCCCCTGGATTCTTGCTTGTGTTCTCTGAACCCGGAGAGCTCGTGTCGGAAGCCGAGTTCCACGACTGGTACGACAACGAGCATATTCCTCTCCGCGTCGCGGTTCCCGCCTTTCTCAGCTGGATGCGCTGGGAAGCCGTCGATGGTTCGAGTCCCAAGTGGGGTGCATCCTACGATATAGAATCCTTCGAGGCGACACAAACACCCCCGTATTCGACGCTTGCGCAAACGAGGAGCGATCGCGAGAAGAATCTCCAGAGTCGCATCAAGAGGCTGGACCGCAGAACATACGAAGTGTTTGAAGGACACCCTGCTTACCCTCCATCTTCCCTCTTCGACCCGAACATTCCAGCTCCGTATACCATGTTCTTCTCGATCGACGTGAAACCGGAGGATGAGGAGGGGCTGAACAAGTGGTATTACGAGGAACACATCCCGATGGTGTCCAAGTCTCCAGGCTGGTTGAGGAGCCGACGGTTTGTGCTCAAAGACTGGGGCAAAATAGGAGTAGAGGGAAAGAATGATCAGAAGGCGCCGCCGAAGTATCTGGCGGTGCACGAGTGGACGAACCCGGACTTTTTGCAGTCTGACGAGCTAAAGGCAGCAAGTACGACGACCTTGGCCAAGAAGTTTCTGGACGAGGCAGCAGTGTCGCAGGAAATGAGGGTGATGAAATTGCACAAGAAATGGGACAGGCAGTAGAAAGGAACAACCTGGAACGGCGTGCTTCGAGCAACGTTCTGTACGATTAGGATATCGTTGGTCATGGAAACGTGGAAGAGAGACGTGCTGTATGATTAGGAAACACCGGTTCTGGATCCGTGGCAGACGCATACGGTTTTGGCCTGAAGTTTGCACGTTCGCGAATGTATAGCCTTACCCTGATCAAAAGACGGAACGAATTATTGCCCGCGAAACAGTCGCTAATGTTGCCGAGATCTAATGGGTTTGAAGAAGCACAATCAACCGCACTGTACTGTGCAGTGATTTCTTCCGGACTGAACGCAGACATCGTCGAACGACCGCACGAGCTCGAAGCGAAGAGACACGGGCCGCGGCTCATGCGGCTCTGGACGTCGGGGCGAACCCCGGAGAGGTACGATGACATCTGACTTGACTGCCCTTCGGCCCTGCGCATGTGCACCGACTCGTACACTACATCTGCACATTCTTTCCCGTACTTGTCGTGGCGGAGTCATGCCGTCACCACTTTTGTGGACCGCGTGCCGTCGGGCTAATGAAACGCACGAGCCCATGAGGTCGAAGACATTTTTAACGACGATGCGCATGCTTCCGGCGCATCAACGCTGCACGCTGGGCATCGACGCCTCGCCTGCCCGATAGCCAGGATTCTTTGCCGAGCCATGAATATAAAGCCTCGGACGATGCAACGATGCACATACACCACCGCTGTTGGTCCCGAGGAGACATGGTCGTTGCTTTGCTCGTGACCGCCGCTTTTGCCGCGCAGGCTAGCGCGAGTCTACAGAACCTGCTTTCGCCGCCTACTACCTTCCCGAACATCTCAGCTTGCGTCAGCCAGCCGCTGGTGTATTCATGTGAGAACACCACAGCGATCGCAGATACATGCTGTTCCCCTACACCTGGTGGACTGGTCTTGCAAACACAGTTCTGGGACACCTACACGGGCCTCGAGCACGAGGGGCAACTGCTACCGAAGGGCAGTTGGGGAATTCATGGTCTGTGGCCGGACAATTGCGACGGGTACGAGAATGATACGTGCAAATCAAGCTTTCACCATATAATGAATTGGATCTACCGGCAGGTCCTTCGATCAGTACTGTGACTTCTCTAGGCAATTCGATCCTGACCCGTCGCCTGCTGTCTTACCGGATGGAACGACGATCCCGCCTTACAAGGGTCCAGGAGTTGACACCTTCATCCAGGAGTTTGGACGGCCCGATCTGCTCGACTACAGTATGCAGCAATGTAATTCGCGTGTCGCGCGCTGCACTGACTATTCGTACAGTGAACAAGTATTGGATCAACCAGGGTGCGCCAAATCGAGACTTTTGGGCACACGAGGTAGACGGAAACTTTGGTCCTTTTGCTTCAGAAATTCTTGATGCCCATTCTTCAGTTCTCGAAGCATGCGACCTGCACATCGACATTCGATATCGCATGCTATGGTCCGGATTACAAGA